TCAAAGACTTTGCCTAGGATGGAGGTGAGACTGACTGGCCTATAGTTGCCCGGGTCCTCCTTCCTCCCCTTCTTGAAAATGGGGACCACATTGGCCCTTTTCCAGTCCTCCGGGACTTGGCCCGTGCGCCACGAGCGTTCAAATATTCCCACCAGTGGCTCTGCAATGATGTCAGCCAGTGCCTTCAGCACCCTCGGATGGAGCTCATCCGGGCCTGCCAGCTTAAAGGCATCCAGTTCTTCCAAGTGACTCTGCACCAACTCAGGGTCTGCGCATGGAAGTCTGGCGCCTTGGTGCTGCCTCTCTACAACCCCAGTGAGAGACTTGTCGTGTCTCTCTCTTAGGAACACTGAGGCAAAGAACTCGTTGAGGAGTTCAGCCTTGTCCCCCCTGTCCATCACCAATTGTTTCTGCCCATTTAGCAGGGGTCCTATTCCTCCCTGGGCCTTCCTTTTACTCCCTATATATCTAAAAAAACAATTTCTTGTTGTCCTTTACTTGGGATGCCATCCTCAGCTCCATGGTAGCTTTGGCCCGTCTAACTGCCTCCCTACAAGCACGAGCAGAGGAGGTATATTCGTCTTTGGTGATCTCTCCCTGTTTCCACTTTTTATGTGCTCCCCTTTTTGCCCTTAGGCTGCCCTGGATTTCTCTGGTCAGCCAAGGAAGCCTCCTGGCCCCTTTCCCTCTTTTACCTCGCATGGGGATCGTCTTGCTTTGTGCCCGAAGGATCGTTTCCTTAAGGCACAGCCACCCTTCTTGGGCTCCCATTCTTCTCATTCTTCATTTCTCGTACTGTGGGTCTGCAGTTGAGGAATCTGGAATGATAGATGTGACCTGCCCTTTATGTCCACAGTGCATATGCACTGTGTCTATCCATAGGGCTTATACACTTTCTGGAGCTACTGCTGATCAGAAATGCTCAAGCTCTTGAGTTCTCAAAGAGCTCCAGTTGCTGTAAAGTAACTTTATCTTATTAGTATATCTTTTTTTTTTTTTTTTAATGTATGCAGTCCTGTGTCATGTCTAAATAAAACCGTTTTTTTCAGTCTACAGGGTACTAATTCATAATGGGCCAAATGTATGTGTGGCATAGCCAGGAAGATGGTGTATTAATGTTTTGTGGTGGGTTTTTTTTTCTTACCTACTATGCAGGAGCCATTGTCTCCATTTCTGAGAGGAGGAAGCTTTTGCCCAGGAAATAATGTTATTTATGAAAAGACCATAAGAAAATATGAATACTTAAATCCCCAAAAGGTAAGCAATTTTTTGTTTTGTTTGTTTTTACTTACCTGTTTTACAATAAAATTGCCACGTTCTACAGTTGTCTCAAGTTTTTGCTTTTTATGGCATTAATATCTAGTCTGATAGCTTTTTGTATAAAATCAGGTTAAAACCTTGAAGTCAATGGAGGTACTTTTATGAGTGAGATGAGCAGGATTTGGCATGTTTAACTGTGTTTTTGCCCTAAAACTTCCTTTTAAAATTCAAGCATGGAGTCCCTGTGCCTTTGTCTTATGGTATCATTTGTTTGGTTTGTTTGTAGGCCCCTTATTCACCTTAGTAAGCACACAGTTGTAGTGATAGACCTCTCTAGCTTGTCCATAATTGGAAAACGAGGGTAGTCAAACATTGGAACAAATTACCTCGCAGAGGGGTAAACTTAAATTTTGGTGCCTGGAGTGGCACATTGGGAGAGTGCTTGCCTCCTTGTGCAGTCTGAGGCAGTGGCATGGGTAGTGTTGCCCTAGTCTGAGCTCCCCCAACACAGGTAATGGTGCGAGCATAGGCTCCTTAGAGGTTGCTATTCTGACACTGCCTCTGAATCTGTACCCAAATTACTCTATTGTTGCCTAGAAAAGCTGTGGGACCTTCATCCTTCAATGTTTTAAGAAGAGGTTAGATGAGCTCTTGTATGGGATGATTTGGATACGGGTAATCTTGCCTTGGAGCAGGGGGTTGGATTAGGTCAGGGGTTCCCAAAATGTATACCCACAGGGGTACGCAAGACATCTGGGGGGAGGGGGGCGTACGAGAGAGAAATTGTGTAATGGCAGATTTTAATTTTCATTATAATAATAATAATCAACGTTTTAAGGGGTTAAGATACAAATTTTACCTGGTAGGGGTACACAGGCAGCTGGTAAATCTGGAAGGAGGTATGCAATAAGAAAGACATTTGGGAACCTTTGGACTAAGTGGCTTTTTGGGGTCTTTTCCAGCCTAGTTTTCTGATTCTGTGCGTTCTAATTTTTGAAACTCTGCAGTATAGAAGGAGGTGGGGAGCAAACCTTTCCCTCTCTCATTGGCCACTCGTGGTCTAGGAGGAAAATAAGAAAAAAGAGGTCAAGGAAAGGGCACTTGTGAGAACAGACTGAACTGAGAGAACACTTAAAATGTGTAGCAGGAAAATCATCATCGAGGATTAGCTTCGGGTTAGAGGAGGGTCGGGCAGAGACGCTATGGGTCAAACTACAAGGGGGGTGTGGCAAAAGGGACCTTACAGTGGGTGTCTACTACAGACCACCCAACCAGGGGGAAGAGCTGGACCAGGACTTCTCCAGTCAGCTTATGGAGGTGGTTAGGTCAAGGGATGTTATTGTCACCTAAACTACCCAGATATTTGCTGGGAGGAGCAGACAGCCAGGTCTGACTGCTCGCGTAGGTTCCTGGCTGTATTACAGGACCTTCACCTTATCCAGCAAGTGCACAGTCCCACTAGGGGTAACGCCTTGCTGGACCTGGTCCTGGCCACGGGGGATGACCTGGTGAGGGGACTGAAGGTCCTTGACCACCTGGGCAATAGCGATCATCACCTGCTGGATTTCACTATCCAATGTAGGGCGTCAAGGGCTTACACCAAAGCTGAAGCCCTTGAATTCAGAAGGGCCAACTTCAATGAGCTTAGGAGACTAGTGGGAGAGGCACTGAGGGGCCCATAAGGTAGAGGAGATGGGAGTCCACGAGGGATGGTCGTACCTTAAGGGGGCAATCCTCTGGGCCCAAAGTATAACAGTCCCTGAGAGAAGCAAGGGGGGTAAGGGTGCTCAGAGACCCCCTTGGCTCAGCAAGGGCATTCAGCAATGCCTGAAGACTAAAAGGGAGGCGTACAACCAGTGGAAGGGAGGAACTATCACCAAGAAGGAGTACTCCTCCTTGGCCCGGGAGTATAGGAGGGCTATTAGGAAGGCCAAGGCAGAGATGGAACTCTTGCTAGTGTCCAGGATTAAGGACATCAAGAAGTCCTTTTTCAAGTACATTGGGAGCAAGAAGAGGGCACCAGGCAATGTAGGGCCCCTGCAAGACACAAACGGTAATCTGGTGGCCACGCCAGACAAGAAAGCTGATATTTTTAACAGTTTCTTTGCCTCTGTTTTCCTGAACA